ATCCATTCAAATGTTGTTTTCCACGATGGCACAGTTCGGCCTTGAACTGGAACAGATGGATGTGAAGACTGTATTCTTGTATGGTGATATAGATGAAACAATCTTGATGAGGCAACCTGAAGGTTATGTCAAAAAGGGGAAGGAAGATTATGTGTGCAAGCTGAAGAGATCCTTATATAGACTGAAATAATCTCCTCGATGGTGGAATAGGAGATTCAACAAGTTCATGGCACGCATAAGTTTCACTAGAAGTTAATCTGACCACTGTGTTTACTTCAGATTTTGACTCGGTAATTCATTTGTTATTTTGTTGCTTTATGTGGATGATATTCTAATAGCAAGCAACAATGTCGAAGATGTAATGAGGATGAAGGATGAACTTAATAAGGAGTTCAACATGAAGGATTTGGAAGTTGCGTCCAGGATTCTTAGGATTGACATCCGAAGAGATAGAAAACAATCTAAATTATGCTTATCTCAAGATGCATACCTACGAAAGATTCTCAAAAAGTTTGGTATGTCGAATTCAAAGCCTGTTGTAACTTTGACAAACCCTTAATTCAAGATGAGTATAGATCAGTGTCCAAGTACTGATGTTGAAAGAGCTTATATGAACAGATTTCCATATGCTAATATAGTGGGTTCTTTGATGTATGTTATGGTCTATACTAGACCCAACATAGCATATGCAGTAAGTCTTGTAAGCAGGTACATGGCGAATCCTGGAAAGGCTCACTAGCAAGCATTGAAGTGGATTCTAAGGTACATAAATGGGTCTCTAAACAGAGTCTTAATTTATGGTGGAGCCTTGGATAAAGATAGTAAAGCAGCAATCGAAGGATATGTCGACTCAGATTATGCAGGTTGTATGGATTCCACAAAATCTATTTATGGATATGTGTTCACTATGTTTGACACAACAATCAGTTGGAAAGCAACACTTCAGAAGGTTGTTTCCTTATCAACTAATGAAGCGGAATATATCGCCCTAACTGAAGTTGTGAAGGAAGCATTGTGGCTTGAAGGTTTTGCAAAGGAGCTGAAACTTCAAGGTCGAGTTGTCACTGTTAAATGTGATAGTCAAAGTGCAATACACCTGTCGAAGAATTCAACCTATCATGAGCGAACCAAGCACATTGATGTGAGACTTCATTTCGTCAGAGGGGTAATCGAACATGGAGAAGTCCAAGTGTTAAAGGTTTCGACAGATCATAATGTTGCTGATATGATCACCAAGACATTGTCCAGTTGCAAGTTTTTCCACTGTATGTAGTTGATAAAGCTGCATGAACAAAGCTAGTTTATTTTTTGATGGAAGAGTTAGATCTAAGATAGATATTTATGAGATATTGGATTGAATTCTAGTTAGCATGCCGTCGAAGTTTTCTCACATGCTGTTGTCGAAGGCCTATATGTTGTAGTCGAATTGTGTTCTAGTATGTAGTTGTCGAATTGGGCCTTGTGTTAAGGATCCAATTGTTTAAGTTAGCATGTATCCTAAGTTAGCTTGTAATGGGTAACTATTAAAAAGCCCATTAGTTTAGTATGTTAAGTTTTATCAAAACTAGCATACTAGTCTCTCATCTTATGTGTGGTGTGACAAAACCTAATTAGGGTGAGAGGGTTATTTGTTATTCTTGAGTACTTGTAATATGTTTTATAGAGAAAGTAAAGAATAGCAGTTATAACCAATCCTTGTTGTTCTCCTTGTTTTTCCTTAACCATAACCCTTGTGTGTTTTTTGATCATAAAAAAACCGAGTATATTTTGTTTTAAGGCATCCTAATTCACAACACTCTTGGTTGGTGAAGTGAAGGTATATGCTTCCAATCCACATGAGAGAGAGACAGTAAAAAAATGTCCTTTTGTTTTCAAAGTCCCTCTTTTGTGAAACAATCTCTTTTCTCTTACTGTGTATGGTGTCGTGCAATGCCAAGTAAGTTACCACAAAAATGAACAAAATTGAAACAACTTTTAAAGACTTAATGAACAAGTATTTCAACCAAAAAAAAGGTAAAAAAAAAACAAAAATTTAAATATTAAAATAAAAAAAATGATAAATAAAATAAAACATAAATAAATGATAATAAAATAAAATCTAAAATAAAAACATGATTAATTAAAATGACTAACAATCTAAAAATAAAATCGGTTTAAAATGAAAAAACAGACTGATATCGAAGTGCACGAAAAAATAAAATGAATACACCAAAATGATCAGCACGAAATAAACGTATTGGAAAAAATACAACATTTGGTCAAATTTCGAAATAAAATTTCCCCGGTTAAAATGCTCAAATTGATCAAAATGCGACCGAAAAGCAGTCGAAAAATTAAAACGAACACACCTGGTTAAACTACGCGAAACGTAGGTTAATATAACTGATATCTGCAAGCTTGATTTTAAAATTTTATGTCTACTGATTTTACGCACAGTTGACCTTTAGTTTGACCGAAACGACTGTACATCCAACAAATTTATTTTTTCTGATAATTCGAGCATTATGCGAGACGAAATGCATGATAGGCTACGCAGATGATGCAAAAAGAAGCAGAATCTTAGGGTAAAAAATTAGGGTATGACATGGAAAAGCGTCATGTATCAGTAAATGAGATCAACAACATACATGAAAAAGCATCATGCATAAACAGGCAAAGATACACGGCAAAGCATCGCGAAAAAGCAACAAACGGTCACGGTAAAACATCGTGATAAAAATCCACAGACAAACAAGCACATACACGGCAAAGCGTCGTGTAAAAATCCACAAACATAAAATACAATCACGGCAAAGCATCGTGGTCAACAAATCACCAGATTACAGACACGCGAAGACTACTCGTCTTTGTCTTCTCGAGTATACTGACTAAACCGCAGTCACTCAAGGAAACAACCTCAATATAAGATACAAGTGTTTGTGTTTACAACGATGCTTCAAGAAAACAGATTACACAAAGTTTAAGTACAAAGAATATTCACACAATTATGAACAAAAACTCTATGTGTATTTTCTACCTATATTCACAATAATAGTATGTTCAACAAAAGCGTCGTAGCGTGAATAGAGTAGCAGAATTAATAGCTTCATTCATTCTTCCAAGTCACCTTTATATAGCCATGAAAAGATCCGTTGAAGGATAGAATTGACATCTTCATAAATGAGTTGCCACCTTGCATAACGGTCTGCCAAGGTGAGAGACAAAATGGTACAAATAGTTTAGTCCTTCTCCATGAAATCAGCATAACGAAAGGAATATATGATATTGTACTGTGTACTATTTTTCTCACATAAAACCTTTTGATCTTATCTTCTAATCTTCAGAGGCTTCTGAATAAATTTTGTTGAAGCATGTTTAGAATGATTAAGAGACTGGTTGAGATAAGCTTAAGAACCTTGTCTTCAGAGTCTTGACACAATTTCTTAGAACCTGGTCTTCAGAGTCTACAAAACTTGTTCTACAGAATCTTAAGAACTTCATAAACCTTCAGAGGCTCTTCTATTAAAGCCACAGTCAGAAGGTTTAGCACAAATATTCATCAGAACTGTTGTCTAAGAGCATTTCAGAACTTGACATAATTTTGTAAAACACATTTTTGTATCTCTTCAGAGACAAAGTGTGTTAAGTTCAGAGTCTGATGACGTCACACGTCAATTCTTCAAAGTCAGAACCTCTCAAAAAAAGCGTACTAGACAAAACCATTAGAATACAAAAAATTTCTCTAAAAAACAATATATTGTTATTACTAAAACTAAAAGTCAGCTGCAGAATCAAATCTTGTTCTTATGAAAAAGTAGAGAAAATATAATTATCATAAGTTGATAAGAGAAATTGAGAAGCTTTGTAAAAAAAAATAACTGGCTTCGTCGTCATGTGGATGAAGAAAGCATCAATTATTTTACAAACACTAAAAAATACATAAACACTTTTCTTGTTAACGATGATCTCTTTTTGAAATAAGGATCAAACTCTATTCAAAGCTAATCCGACTTTTTAAAGCTAAATAAACTCTTCAAAAAGGTTTTCTCTATTTAAAAATTAATAATCTAATTAGATTTTAGTCTATTTAAAAAAAACTCTTAAATTAATTTGTCAAAAATATTATAAATCATTATAACTCATAAGCTATAAGTTCATAAAAAAATATGATTATCAAAACAAAACCCTAATAAAACCCTAATAATTTTGAAGACTCTGAAAGAGATTCAAAGAAATTGTGTATAAACTCAAAAAATATGGTATTGCAAAACAAAACACTAATGGTCTAAAAGTCTTTCTTTTTGGTAATAATAGAACTTTTTAAACCTAAATAAACTATTAAAAAAAAGTTTTCTCTATTTAAAATAATCTAATTAGACTTTAATCTACCAGTATGCTGCCAAAATGATCCAGCAAGAGAGAAAGAGACCCTTCACAAATACCTATTTTAACATCTCAAAAAAGGTTTTAAAAAGAGTGAGCAAAAACAGTCGCGACAAAACGGTATCGGAACGTGTCAATATTAATATCACTATTCTCTATTTTTGTAATAAAGAACAAATTTTGATTAATTCACACCACGACTATCGCAACACCGGTATGCGACCACAAACGTTATTTAAAACCTTGATAAAAAACACCATAAATTCAAAGGTTGCCCGGTTTCAAAGCCTAAAACTAGAGTTTCATTACCTGTCATCAGAATCAAACCCATAAGCATTTCAAGAAACATTTCAATTAACCTCACTGCCAAGAAGAAGGAAAATACACTTGGATATTCTATAACTTGTAAGCTGATTCTGGTTTTAACAATTCACTATTAATAGAGAATTACACTTTGATTCATGTTGTAAAAAAAACCACTGAAATTCTTACAAATTCAACTTGAATTTAATCAACACATGCATTGCCATCTGATTCAAACCAAAGGTGAAGCCTGCTAATCCTACAACTACCTTTATTGCAAGAGAGTAGCTGCTAAACAAAAAATACAGTCACCATCCACTGTCAAGTATCAACTATCATGCCAAAAAAGTCTCTACCATATCTACTGCTTCTGTTCCATCGCTGGACGACGACACGCTGGATGACTCGCTGGTTGTCTCAGGAGATACTGCAGGACATGATTCTTCACTATTTAGAGAAGTTGGCATACCTGAAATCTCCTGAATATAATTATAATAACTATGTAAAGTTAGAGAGCATGGAACAATAAGAATATGGACATGCTAGTTTTCAAAGACAAATGACACAGAATTTTGTATCAAACCTTCATCAAATGTAGCCGCAAATCGCACGGTCGAGTCCTAGTTCCAACCCTCTCAATCACAAATTTTGAATAGAGGTCCAAAATGTCAACAGCATCTTGTTGTATGAAATGTAGCTGAAACAAAATTCCATTCTTTCAGATTAATGATCCGGAAAGAATATAAACAATCTCACAGCCAGTAATCGTTAACACTACTGAACTTATTGAAGGAAACAAAACATTGTTCTCTCAACAAAACCCGTTTTAACATCACAAACAAGGTTTTAAAAAAGGGTCTGCAGAAACAGCCGTGACAAAACGGTATCAGAATGTACCAATACCGATACCGATACCATTATTTGCCGTTTTTGTGATAAATGAACAAATTTTTGTTAATTTACACCGCGACTATCGCAATCAACATAGCAACACCGGTACCGGCCGAAATTGCAAAAGCCCTTTATGCGACCGTTGTTTAAAACCTTGATCACAAATACCCTAAATTCAAATATTGCCCGGTTTCAAAGGCCTAAAGCTAGGGTTTCATTACTTGTCATCAGAATCAAACGCAGAAGCATTTCAAGAAACAGTTCAATTAACCTCATTGCCATAATCAAGAAAAAAATACACTTGGATATTCTATAACTTATAAGCCGATTCTGGTTTCAACAATTCACTATTAATAAACAGAATCACACTTTGATTCTTGCTATAAAAAAAATTCACTGAAATTCTTTCACAATCCTTGATTCTTGCTATGCAAATATCAACAGAATTTCAACTCAAACATGGCCAATCCACATATTCCAAGCGGAATTCAACAATCAGAAAAATAGACAAGTAACCTAAACTTAATGCTGAGAATGGATTAAGGCACAAAAATTCAAAGATATTGGGGGAAGAAATTGGATTAAATTTGAAAAGAAAGAACCTCTATTGGAACTTCTTCTTCAAAGGTTACACTGACAAAAACCGACTCAAAAATGTTTTGATTGCTCATATTTTCCATCTGATGCGTTTAGAAGAAGAAGAACCCAAAGATGATTATGACAAACTACAAATAAGAACCAAGTGCACTTTTATTTTCCCTCTGTCTCTTTTTTAAGTGCTCGTTTTAAATTTTGAACACTTTTTAAATAATTATTAATTATTACTCCATCTAATAAAAGGATTACTTTTTAAATTTATTGACTTTTTTTAAATTCCCTTTAAAAAATCAAGTTTTTAATTCCTCCTTCTCATTTATTTTAGGTTTTTTTTTTCTCGATAACTATATACTTGGCAATGAATATGCAAACACACTTAAAAAAAATACATGTTATTAAAAAAATATTTTATTTTTTTAATAACAATTATCTCTAACTTGTGTTTTAGATATACATGTTAAGAAACTCACAAATAAAAAATTTATATTGAAAAAAATAGTAAAATAATTAATTATAAATTTTTGATATAATCAATATACAATTTTCAAAAAAAACATTTTTACATTTAATTCTTAATTTATGTCCCAAAGTTAGCATTATCCTTACAATTTGTTTTGTGCCGACACAAGGCCCAATTGTTCAATTTGTTCCACCAAACCCATGGTATAAATACATTCACAAAGGGTTTTTAGGTACACAATCTCTAATCTCCACTTTTATTGTAGTCATCTTAAATCCTAAACTGACTTGAGTGTTGGGTGTTAATCATGCAAGTACCCCTGAAGTGTCGTATTGGAGATTAGCAATGTTGACTTAAGATCGACGCTTCTGGTTCAATAAGCAACGTGATCGCAACCTTTGATCCATTGTGTCACGTCGTAAACTCACCTGTGAAGCTTCGCTCCAACGTGATTCCCACAATCTCATCCAATTTTGGTTTTGCAACAGAGTATTGGCGTCCTCTGAGGTAATCGAATTTCGATTCCTGCGATTTCATGTTTTATTTTCATATCTGAGCTCCAAAAGCATCTCCGGTGAAGAAATTGAAGGCTCGAAGAGCCAAAATCTCATATCTACGTCGTTTGGATCCGTCGAGCTCCGATCTAACTCTGATCGAATGTTTATGCTAAGTTTGAACTGTCGTGATAGGACAGACGTAGATATCCACGTATCAAGGCATAAGGTTATCAAACTCTGATTGAATTCAAGTACAACTCATTTTCGAATGATAGTATTAGGAATCATGTTCGGTAGAAACTATTATTCAAGGATCGCCCTAACTGATCCCAGCTAGATATCTCATAATCGTAAATACCCCTGCCAACTACATCACCATCATAGAGAATAAAGTTATGTAGTTAGCCGACGGTCGACACACGAAGGTTGGAAAACCCGTAAAACAAGATGCGCTCCTGACACTAGCATGTAAATCATGTTAGAACAAGATTTGGTTATGTTGTTTATCTCTAGGTTTTAATAATAAAAAGGTAGTATTTGTGTAAAAATAATTTTGGTACTCTAATGGTTTATTATTCTGAAGTTTTAACAAATAGGTTCTGACTCTGATAGAGACCATATACAACGTCATTGTGGTATGACATAATATGTTGCTACTCACATTCAGAAATATTATAAGAAGATAATATGTTACTGCTGCAATGCTCTCTTAGATTCTGCCTTCGAGTGTGACTCTGATGATTTACTTTTGAAGGCTTTCTAGCTTTTGAAGTTGTTCTCTTCTGAAGACTAAGTGCCAAAGACTTTGAAGATAAGGTTCTGCTGAACAAATTTCTGAAGACTTAAGTTTCTAAATACTAAGTGTTGAAGACTCTGAAGATAAGGTTCTGCTGAACAAAGTTCTGAAGACTTAAGTTTCCGAAGACTAAAGGTTCTGAAGACTAAGTGTTGAAGACTTTAAAGACAAGATTCTAGTAAACAAGTTCTGAAGACTCTGAAGACCCAGTGATCAATTCTTCTACTCATGCTTCAAACATCTATATCCAGAAGCCTCTGATGTACAGGAGATAAGATCAAAAGTTTACGAGAGAAATAGTACATAGTACGTATCAAAAATGTTTCATTCCACTACCATTCCACTACCCTTATTTTATGGTGAAAATGAAAAAATTTGTGTACGATTTTCATCCCTATATAACGAAATTCTTTCAAGTCGCCATCTCACTCAAGGATATTCCTGATCTGCCCTCCAATGGATCTTTTACTAGCTATATAAGGACTTGATAACTTGAACAAAATTGTGAAGAACAACAACGCAAGAACACAACAACGAAAAACTCATACTGTGCGCAAATTTTCTTTAAGTCTTTTTTAAGATATTCATTGTGGTTATATCTGCTTCATTAGAAGTATTTCATTGTAAACATTCATGTTTCACAAACTGTGTTTGTAATTACTTAAGGTACCAGTTAGGTCAGAATCCTTAAGAAGACTTAGACAGTTAGTCTTTGTAGTTGTTAGTCACCAGTAGCTACTATTGCAGATTGTAATCAGTTGATTATATTGGATTAAGTCCTTGGATAAGGAAAAATCACCTCGGTGGGTGGACTGGATTAGCTTTATAGTTTTTAAATAAACCAGGATATATCGTATGTCTTTCTCTCGTGTTTAGTTTCTTTGTTATTTCTGTTTGAGTTTCATAAAAAGCTTTCATTTTTAAAAACCCAATTCAAACCCCCATTTCTTATGTTCTTCTCACAACTTCAATTGGCATCAGAGCTCCGGTTCTGATTGTGATAAAAGTTTTATCAACACTTCACCGTGTTTAGTATCGATCCAGTACTTGTGTGAGACGTCATGGCTGTTGTTGCTAATCCTATTTCAGAAGAGAAAGATCACTACAGTACTAAACCACCAATATTTGATGGTGAAAAGTTTGATTACTGGAAAGATAGAATTGAAAGTTTCTTTCTTGGCTACAACGTAGATCTTTGGGATCTTGTAGTTGATGGCTACACTCACCCAGTTAATGATGCAGGAGAAAAGGTGTTAAGAAGTGTTATGACCAATCAACAAAAAGAACTACATGAATCATCACAAGGCAAGAACTATACTGATGAATGTTATTTCTTATACTGAGTATGAAAAAATAACAAATAGAGAAACTGCCAAGTCCATTTTTGATTCATTACAAATGACTCATGAAGGAAATGCTCAAGTAAAGGAGACAAAGGCTCTTGCCCTAATCCAAAAATATGAAGCATTCAAGATGGATGATGATGAATCTGTAGAAACTATATTTTCAAGATTTCAGATGTTGGTAGCAGGACTCAGAGTGCTAAATAAAGGATAATCAAATGCTGAAGATGTCAATAAGATTATCAGAATTCTTCCCAAGAAATGGAGACCTATGGTAACTGCTTTAAAGCTATCTAAAGATCTGAACAGTATAAGTCTTGAAGAACTTATTAGTTCTTTAAGAAGTCATGAGATAGAGCTGGAGGAAGATGAACCTTAGAAGAAGAATAAATCAGTTGTTATTAAGTCTAAATCTAAAAAGGCAAAGGCTTATCAAGCTGAGGAAGAATCAGAAGATTATAACAAAGACTCAGAAGATGAGTTATCACTTTTCACCAGAAGGATCAATAAACTATGGAAACATAGGCAAGTAAAATTCAAAGGATCAAGAAAGAACAACGATCATTCTGACTCAACATCTGAATAAAAGAAGTAGAGTTTTGGAAAAAGAAGTCATCTGTTATGAGCGTAATGAGTCAGGTCATTAAAAGAATGAATGTCCAAAGATTAAGAAAGACAAGAAGCCTAACAAGAACTTCACCAAAGTCAAGAAGGGACTCATGGCAACTTAGGATGACTCTGATTCTGAAGAAGAAGATTCTGATGAAGAACAGGCAAATGTTGCATTAGTGGCAACAACAATTAACGTTGAAGTCTCTGAAGAACCAGAAGACAAAATGTTATCAGAAGCAGAATCAGATTCGGACTCCAAGTCAAAGGTATTGTCTAAACTTTCTCATTGTGAATTAGATTCATGTCTTTTAGAAATACTGGAAAGATATCAGAATCTTCAAAGTAAATAAAATGATCTTAAACAAATCCATGTAATGACTTCTGAAGCTAGAGATAAGCTTAAACATAATAATTCTTCGCTGAATGAAAATATTTTTTCTTTAAAAAATATTAATTGTGCTTTGAAAAGCAAAATCTCTAAACTAGAAGAAGAATTAGTCTCTAATATCTTTGATACTAATTGTGTCAACAAGTATGGTAGAGCATTTCAACACTTTCTGGCTAAAATCATATATAGAAGCAAAATGGCTTCCATGATCTATGGAGTTAGCAGAAGTGGCAAGAAAGGTTTAGGGGTACATAAACATCTGAAAATGATGAAAGTCAGCCTGTAAAGCAAAACCTCTCTATGATCATTTTGTGCCTTCTGGTACTAAGTTTGATCGTTCTGAGCTTATGCAAGCACTTTCACAGACACAGAAATCTGATCTTAAACCAAAGTATCATGCACAAGTTCCACTTGATTATCCTGTTGCACAGAAACCCAAAGTCGTGAAAAACTATGGGAAAACTAACAAAAGAGGACCCAGAAAATGGGTACCTAAGGATAAGATAATCTATGTTGCAAATATCCTTAGCAGCTCAATTGAAACACCAATCATGGTACCTGGACAGTGGTTACTCGTGACACATGACGGAAAGAAGGTATATGTTCCAAAGTTTGGAACTTAAGCCTGGAGGCTATGTTGGTTTTGGAGGATACCAAAAGGGTAAGATCATTGGCTCTGGAACTATTGGTAATGGTAAACTTCCTTATATTACTGGTGTTCTTCTAGCTGATGGCTTGATGCATAGCTTATTGTCAACTAGCCAACTTAGTGACAATGGTTATGATATCATTTTCAATCAAAATTCCTATGAGGTTATTAGTCAGAAGGATGGCTCAATCCTTTTTAATAGAAAGAGGAAAAACAACATTTACAAAATCAGACTTTCTGATCTTAAGGACCAGAATGTTAAATGCCTAATGTTTGCTATTAAGGAGCAATGGGTATGGCATAGACGTTTGGGCCATGTTATCATAAGAAATATTTCT